AACTAAAGGTGGCATAGATACTTTATTATGGTATAGTATTTAAATATATGCCTGAGAAACACATAATATTGCCCCTTTAATGAAAATCACTAAAATCATCTGCTAAAAAGAACAGACTCTTTTGCTCAACCATCTAATGTTTTTACCCTCTTCTTCTCTCCGGATTGAAGAGGAGCTGGAGTCTTTCTCCAGCTGGAGGGGCGGGGCACGGCTGGACGGGTCGCAAGTCCATCACAGGGACACACAGAGGCAAACAGGACAAACACTCACACYTGTGGATATCTTCGAGTTCAGTGAATCGAACGTGTTTTCAGTCAGTGGGAGGAAACCAGCTGGAGAAAACTCAYGTGTGCACAGGATGAACAGACAAACTCCACCCTACATAGAAAGGCCCGAACCCTGACCTACTCACTGTGAGGCGACAGCTCTAATKACTGCACCAGATTTTATTATTAGGGTGGGCTGTTTAACAGCCCTTTATGTTGGGATTGAATACTTCCCATTTCTGCCAGACAGATAAATAAAGAAGAGGAGGAGACAGGATAAACAATGAAGCCAGTTTTAATGGAGCTCTTACAGATTCCAGACTCACTTTGAAGTGAAACATCTGTCAGGTCATCATTTGATCTTTGCATGGACCCTAACTTGTTAATCCCCCCCCAACCCCAGTCCTGGCCCCACTGGTCATCTTAATCTGATCCACAGATCCACAGAACAACAGGTGTCAAATGACTGCAGATGTGCAAGTAAYGTTATAAAACAAAAAGAATAAAACTTACAACAGTTAGAATATCAATCCTTAATATATGCTCCCTTCGAACATTTTACATACACTTTACATCTATGGTCACTTTGTATTAACAGCAGTACCATTGTTGTGTTTGACCACTCACCTTTAACAGGGACAGTCACATATTCCAGTTCTGGGCTGATCGCTGAGCGCCACCACTTAAGGATGTAGGTTAGCTCCACCCTGGGGGACCGAAAACTGCAACTTACGTAACATCATACACACAGCCCCCCCGGGGAGGAGACAATGAGATCCTGTGGGGAAGTGTCCAGCAATGATTAAGTCCTAAAGAATGGTCCTGGAAATGTGCCGGGCCCAGTGGAGGTGGACAACAGCGGAGGAAATGTGAACGAACAGCTTTGGGTTGTTATTTTCTTTTTCCTACATTAGCTCTAGAAGCTCCCTGGTTTGTGCTGAAAAGGTCATAAGTGACTCCTACAGTGCTGAGCCAAGCAGAGCCRCTCTAACTTGTGCACTTCGAATTAAAACGACATCCTCGTCGTCGAAAAAAAAAAGAGAGTTAGCATTTTTTTCTCCCATAAATGGTGACAAAAAGGAGTGCAAATATAAAGAGATAAAAGCTCAAAGGTGTCTCTGAAATGAAAAGGCATATTTGTGGCATAAAACGCCAAAAGTGAGGTAAAGCCTGTGCCCACAGAGCAGATGTACAAACACCAAGAAACAGAATGTTACTAGCGCTGGCCAGAGAGAGACGGGGATATCGACAGGGCTGCGAAAAACTATTCGCCCTCAAACAGATTCCTTCTGTTTCTGCATTTTTAATAAGATTTTCTTCTTCTTTCTGCTGCCTTTCATTTTATTTGTGATTTGTGATTAGTATTATTTGTTGTGTATAGTATTTGTTTTTTTTTTAATGAAAATAAATAAATTTCCATCTATCCATTATCTATACCCACTTCCTCCTTTCAGGGTCACGGGGGTCACTGTTGCCCCGCAGTCACAGTGCGAGAGGCGGGGTACACCCTGGACAGGTCGCAAGTCCATCACTCCATCCATCCATCCATCCATCCATCCATCCATCCATCCATCCATCCATCCATCCATCCATCCATCCATCCATCCATCATCTATACCCACTTCTTACTTTCAGGGTCACGGGGGTCACTGTTGCCCATATCCAGCAGTCACTGTGTGAGGGGTGGGGTACACCTTGGACAGGTCGCAAGTCCATCACAGTGGATGTTCATGATTTCATTGTAAAACAAAGTAATGATAATGATCTATATTTATAGTTTCTTTGCAAAAAGTAGCATAACATTGACGTTATTATGTATGAGAGGATGACTGGGATTTGTATTACCAAGCTGAAATGTCTTGTAAGAGCCTCTGTACTCGCTCCAGTACTTTAGAAAATGTGCTTTCCAGGTCTGATGTGGGATCATTAGAGTAAAATTCAACTGTATCCTGAGTTTCYATTTTCAGTTGCTCCTTTTTTACAACAAAATACAACGCTCCAATGAAAGGTTGTAAATGGCATGAAGCAGTGTTGTGAGGACATGCTGAAGTGAGAGTGTCAGAAACATTTATTTTTGATATATACAGCATTTTCATAAAACTTTATGTTACTTGAATGTGATATAGAATTGATCTATGTGCCTTGAAAATACACAATACCCCTTTTAAAAGATCTGATCTATGACTTTAATGGAATCTTTAGTAGGAAACTAAGAATCAGGACTATACAGGGCCCTATAACCCTTCTTCCTGGCTTTTTCCGCAGAGACAATTCAAAGCGCCACAGTTTGAAATTCTCGGAGCGAGGCATTGGGTGTGCGCTAAAAGGTCAGGAGAGGCTTGCACTCAACGTATCTGTCATTGCTTGTCAAGTGGCCCGTGCATGAAAATGTCACATTGTCAGTGGAAGTTGTACGTGGCGCAGGTGTGTGGTGACCTCTCGGGTACAGCTCAGTGTCACATGATGTCAGATCCATTCAGAGTCGTCCCCGCGGTGTACTGTAAACGCCTTCCCCCCTAATATTTCCTCCTACAGTACTAGCATCGTATCGGTATCCCATGTAATGCAAAAAAAAAAATCAGAAATAAGCACCACCTTTTAGTATATCAGCGCGTGAACCAATTACATGCTAACATTCACAAGACATGTCACTGATATTGCTATGTGAGAGCAATCTCAATGCCTCTCTTAGCTCGGCAGGAACCCATGCGAGAAGTAATTGTGCATTTCACGTATTAGGCMTTCTGTCTTCTCTATGATCTATTTTCTTTTCCGAGACAGACACAATAATACAGCACCGAACGCAGCTTGATAGAGCGTCTATTTTTGGTCAAAGCACCTTTCTGTGAATGAGAATGAATGAAGGCGTGGTGCGGTGGTAATGTATCAACATAAAATATTGAAATAGCCCAACCAAGGGCAAACTCCATGTAATTGAAACTCTCTCTGTAGTCGGAACAAGGAACCGCCGTGC